TGTCCATGGGGCCTCCATGACCTTTCCTTGTACAGGTTGTGTTAGTTTCCCCTGTATAAATGTAGTAAATATTTTTATTTTCCAGTTATTTTGTATCAATTAATTGTTTATATATTTTTAAAGAATCATGGAAGTGAATTATTCATTTTTAATCCATGCAATATTTTTCTTCCTCGCCTGTCAAATATGATTTTCAGGGAAAAGATCTGATGTAGAAATCACAAGTCCTTTCTATATTGAACCCACTGTTCTGTGAGAGCTAGATTTTAGATATACTATGTAGCCTATTCTGTAATCAGTTATAAGCATAAGTGAATAAAGGAAAGAATCAGAAACTGCTTATAGAGAGAGATCTTACCATATTGACTACCTAGTACTACTTCAGGAGGGTCCGTCTAAATGAGTGTATAAAACAAAAAAACCGAACTCGTTGCATCAACTCTGACTCAGAGCAACCCTATAGATCAGAATAGAACTGCCCCATAGAGCTTCCAAGGAGCAGCTGGTGGATTCAAACGGCTTACCTTTTGGTTAGCAGCTGAGCTCTTAACCACTAGGCCACCAGGGAAATTGGAAATTTCATTGGTGATAGAAAGGCTGAGAGTGGAGAAGAGGCAGGAATATTATTTTCAAACCAAATGAGCATTTGGATCAGATCATAGTTTGGATTTGAGAAGAATATCATGATTTAAAGTGAGGCAATATATAGAAGATAATGCCCCTACTTGGTTTGGGACTGCATTGGAGATGTAGATAAACTTTTTATATGTATTTATCTTCTAATTAATCTAACTAATTATAGTAACAGATTTTGTGCTTATAGTTTTTCTATGTGGAGCTGTAAAATATTGCCATTTGCATTTGGTGGTATTACCTGTGCTAATAAGAATACAAAAAGTTAATTTAAGTTACTGATACTTAAAAGCAGTAAAATCAGTTGCTGTCAAGTCGATTCTGCCTCATGGCGACCCATGTGTGTCAGAGTAGAGCTAGAGCTGTATTGTACTCCATAGGGTTTTCATTGGCTGATTTTTCAGAAGTAGATCCCTAGGCCTTTATCTTCTGAGGCACCTCTGGGTGGATTTGACCCTCCAGCTTTTCAGCAGCTGAGCCCGTTAACTATTTGCACCACCGAAGGACTTCACTGATGCTTTGAATTAGCATTATAATATCTGAACCCTAAACTTAATAAAATGTGACATTTTGGGTAAAGCTATTTTTTCAGTACGCTTTTCCTAAACTTTATTTGATCAAATCTATAAGTAAGTATGAAATTTGTTAAACCTCAGTATGCCATCTTAGAGTTCATTGAATGATGAAAAATGGGTTTTAAGAGGGAAAAAAATGTGGTACCTTATTTGGAACCAAAAATAAATTATATAATTAATACAGTGAGCGAATTTGATAGCATCATATGAAAGTGAATTTCTTATAACACTGAACTGTACTAAGTAGTATTTCTAAATGGAAGAAGATTTTGAAGACTGAGGAAGGAGAAAAAAATGAAAAGTCAGTCTACTTTAATTAGAAGATAATGAGAACAGAGGCTTCATTTGGTCTGTTAACTTTGTGTTTGTTACTGTGAAGTGTGTGCCCACTTATCCACATTGTCTCTGCTCCTGGGCTTAGCTTACCTTGGGTAGCTGGTTAGCACTGGTATTCATGTAGTGTGGACCCAGAGATTGGGCATCCTACACAGGGACTTAGGGTATTAGCTTTCTCCTGCCTAAAACATCATCTTCAATGGCCTGAAATTCCATTTATTAGGTAACAATAGGCCTATGTGGAATGTAAATGTAACCTGGCATTGGTCCTCTCTTTAGAGCAGGCACATTATCATATTAACTAGAGTGGATCCTTGATATTCAAGAGAGATACACCCTTAGACCTTCCGGAGTTTGTTGCCACTTCTCTCACCTATAGTGTCCTTCATTTAATGCATGTTAATGTCAGCACTGGTAAGTTAGATATTTCTCACAAAGAGTCAGAGGTTTTTGTTTTTTTGTTTTGCCTTGGATTTTATATAACTGTAGGAGAGTAATGTTATACAAGTAGGTAGCAATTCTGTCTTCAGTTATAGATGCTAAGTAGTGGTAATCTGGGTTAATTCCAGCACTATACATTTATACATTAGGAAAATCAGAGAATACTGTCTATGATGGATTTTGGAGGGTCACTGGATAATAGTCAAAACCATGGAATCAGAGAATGCTCATATTCCACCCTTCACATGTGATGGTTTAGGGCTGGACAGCTTGACAGAGAAGGTAGGTAGTACCACTTGGAAGGGATTCAGTATGAGTCCCCTCCAGTGGCTGGAGGAGCCACAGGATTCTGATTCCAGAAGGGCATGCATTGGCTAAGGACATCCACATGGGTGGGAAATGAAAGGAAAATGCTGGAGACAAGCTTTATCAATCCTCAGCTATGTTAGAATGGAGTCAGCCCTTTGGTACTTGGTAATCATTGACTGATTGGCTCTTTGAATTGGATCTAAGTGGTATTTTATAAGCCACTGACAATTCCTGGAAAGATTATCAAAACATATTGTAGTCTCTGGCCCTATGCCTGCTTTTTCATTCTTTGTTTCCAGTTATGAAACAGCCCAGGGCATCACAAAAGTGAACATTTCCTGACTGGTTTAGCTGCCTGTTTATAAACTTTCCCCTGTCACCAGAAGACAGTATTCTCTCCAAAAATCATTCTTGGCATCCTTGACTGTTCTGCATGTACTTCTTCTGTGTTACCTCTGTGTTTCTTAGGTAGTGGTTTACAGCAAATGCAGTATTTCAGCATAGTGTGTAGGCGGCTTTACATAAATACCATGTACAAGATGGATAAATTATAAATAGGATTTCTTAACACTCAAAGCCTTTTGGTTTAGGCTTGTCATAGATTCAATTCTGATGCTACGTCTAGTGCTAATTTTCAGTTTAAGCCAGAGTCCATAGGTCTCCAGTTGGTATTAAGGTCATCTTATAGTGCTTAGAAGTAACTCTTACAAGATCAACCAGTTCCTCACTCTTAAGAAGGACCTTCTGGGAGATAAATCTTCATGGTAGATAAATAGTATTGTTTTTTTTTTTTTCTGTTCATTTTATTTGACACTTATCTTCTACAGATTGTAAGAGGTCCCCTAAGAGATGTATGCATCTTTAAATCAAAACACTACATCATTAACATAATTCCTTATCTTCTCATTGGATGTAACATCCTGGCAGTATACAGAATTTTATCCAAAATTGTCCCACTTATATAATGTGTATACAACTGTGTTGTCTTCCTGATGATAAAATATTATTCTGATTAGAACACATGTACTGATTATGGCCATTTCTACGTGGTATTTGCTTAAATTCTCCTTCATATTTTACACATTTATGAACCGTTACTATCTACGTAGGCCTGCGCTGTCTGTGACGCACCATCTCAAGTGGCTGTTGAGCTCTTGAAATGTGGCTAGTTGGAATTGTTCTGTAAGTGTAAAATACACCCTAGATTTCAGATATTTAGGAAGAAAAGGATGTAAAATATCAATAAATATTTTTTCTTGATCACATGTAGAAGTGATAATATTTTGGATATATTGGGTTAATTTTATTAAAATTAATTTTACCTGTTGCCTAGAAATTTAAAATTATACTTGTGGTTTGCATATCAGTGTATTTACTTGTGGTAGTATGTCTCTTAACAACCTCCCATCCCAGGAAGAAGATCTTCATGGCCTTAGTGTCTGGTCTAATATCTGTTCTGTATGTTCTTGTTGGAAAATCCTAATATTTCTCCCTGTTGCTCCCTTTTTCCAGTTGGCCACTTTTCTAAATGATTATCAGTCATGTTGTAGTAAAATCACCTTTGGGGATTTATCTGCATTTGATCGGTTCTCATACATAGTTTTTGATGTAAAGTGAATACTTTTATGGATTTTTTCAGGGTATTGTGTGTTCTTTATATTTTTAGGCATGACTAAGTGTGAAAAATATAGTATCTTTTAAGTATTTTTTAGTAACTGTATTTCCTTCAGGGCACTATTTTTCTAACTAACTCCTAACATTTAACCTCCTATTTCCAAAACTTCATAGTATGGCTTGGAAAGAATTATGAGTGAAGAGAGGAGTCTTACTTTATTGGCCAAAGCTATTGATCCTGAGCATCCCGTTATGATGACAGATGTGGTTAAACTACTCTCCGCAATATGCATTGTAGGGGAGGAAAGCATGTAAGTGTTCTCAATTTATTTCTGTAACTATATAATAATTTAATGCAGTTTGATTCTATTAATATTTTTGTTATCTAGTCTAGAGTAGAACTTACATTAAATAAAATCTGAATTATATTTTAGCAGTAGATTTAGATTCTTAATAGATTATTGGCTGAACAGAAATGTTTGAATAATAATTATTACTTTAATCTGTACAATATTTACTAAAATGTTTCTATGAAAAATTGATTTCTTCATCATGTTGATTTTAAATTGTTTTGTACTCAAACCCTAAATTCTAAATGAAGACTTTAAAAAATATACAAACAGGTTCTGTTTTTTTTCATGTGATTTTGTTTTTCAGATAGAATTCAAACTGTAGGTCAAGTATATCCCATTGTAAAAGCAAACTTCATACTATTTGGAAAGCTATATATAAGGCAGATTTTCAAAGTGATACATGTAATTGTACTTTACTGGTTGTGGGTATGTAGCCCTTGACTATAAAGTACATGTCAGAGCTTTAGGCTTTAACGACATTGACCACATTTGTTAGGCCTATAACTAAAGACCACTGTTATTGTTAGCTACCATTGCGTTGGCCCTTGACTCATGGCAACCCCACGCACAATAGGGTCAGACCATTGTAATACATAGGTTTTTCATTGACTGAGTTTTGGAAGTAGATCACTGGCCTTTCTTCATAGTTGTCTTAGCCCGGAAACTCCACTGAAACCTGTTCAACATCGTAGCCACATGCAAGCATCCACTGACAGACGTGTGGTGACTGTGCCTGAGGTACATTGGCTGGGAACTGAACCCAGGTGTCCCACGTGGAAGGCGAGAATTCTGCCACTGAACCACCACTGCCCTCTAAAAGATCATTTACATGCTTACTAGAGGATAATTATAAACTTTTTTTTTTTAAAAGAAGATTTGTATTCTAATTACAAGGAAACATTTAAAAATTATTTAAATGTTCCTTTTAAAAAGGATAGACTTGTTGCCATCAAGTTGATTCTGACTCATGGAACCTCATCTGTTAGAACTGCTCCGTAGGTTTTTTTTTTCCCCCTGTAATCTTTATGTAAGTAGATCACCAGGACTTTCTTCTGCGGCACCACTGATTTGCACCACTCAGGGACCTTATAAAAATATGAAAACCACGCAACTAAAAGAATAGCAGTATCTTCCTCATATAAGGGTAAGCAGAGCCCTGTAGGTGGAAACTCTTGTAGACATTTGAAGAGCAGCCTTGTAGTCATCCTGCCAGAGCTGGTGAGGGTTGAACTGCTCAGTTTCAGAGTAACAGGCTATACTCAGACCTGATACGTACTTATAAATATGTACTTATAGTGTATATCCATGGAAGAGGCTTAGCTGTACTCAGCTGCAGACCTGGGCATACAAAGCCAGGTGTGCAGCTTCAACACTTTACCTTTCTCATTTTAAAAAGGCTGTATGTATTAATTTTGGTGTAGAATCTTAAGAGTGAATTTTACGTTGATACATAGGATACGTCATATGCTCCCTCCTCTCCGTTTTCTTTCTCCATTATCCTCTCTCTCCTTTTCCTCTTCCCCTTCTTTCCCCTCCTCTTCTCTCTCCTGTCTGTCTACTCTCCTCTTGTCTCCTCCCTTCTGCTATCCCTTTTTCTTCTCTTCCCTCTTCCTTTCCCCTATTCTTCCTCCCTCTTCTTTCCTTTCTCTTTATCCTCTTTCTCTTTTTCTTCTTCTCCTCTTCCTCCATATTATTTTTATTATTTATTGACTTCAGAATAGGTATCTTTTATAATATAAATAACTTTGAGGATTATGGCCACAAAGTGAGCTGCTACAGTATGCTTCTATAGTATGCTAGGTACTTCACAGTCCTGTTCTTTCTAACCCACACTGTAATATTGTGGTGATATATGTATTAATTGGTAGGAGTTAGTTGGAAAAATAGTGTCCTGAAGGAAATGTAATTTTTCAAGATCATTTACAGGATAATACATTTTTACACTTAGTAATGCCTGATAATAAAAAGAATATGTAACATCCTAAAAAAATCCATAGAAGTATTTGCTTCACATTAAGAACTATGAGAATAGTTCACGACTATTTTTTAAAAGATGGAGAACTATAATTTTTGTGTAATTATTATATTTGACCATAATACTTCACTAGTTTTTGACTGTCACAACTTCATTTACTTAAACTTGAGGGGCAGTAGGCTCAGTGGTTAAGAGCTTGGCTGCTAACTAAAAGGTTGGCAGTTCGAATTCACCAGCCCCCCTTGGAAACCCTACGGGGCAGTTCTGCTCTGTCTTATAGGGTTGCTATGAGTCGGAATTGACTCGATGGCAATGGGTTTGGTTTTGTTTTTTTTTGAGGGGTAGTAGAGTGTAGTGGTTAAGAGCATTTTTATAGTGCTAACTACACAAACCATCTGATTTCAAATCCTTGCTCTGCCATTTAGTAGATAAGGGACCTTGGACAAGTGGCTTAATTTTTTTCTGCCTTGGTCTCCTAATCTATAATATGGTATCATAATAGTACCTTTCTCCTAGAGTTTTACATTAAAATGAGTTAATATTTGTAAAAGTTATTGGAGTAGTGCCTGGCATACGGAAAACAGTATGTAAATGCTTGATAAATAAATGTGCTGATAGGATTGTTGTGAAGATTAAATGAATTAAATGGATTAAAATGAATTAAATGTGTAACATGCTTACAATAGAACTCTACACATATTATGTGCTCAGTAAGCTACTTCTAAAATGTTATTGGTTGCCTGTACGCAGTTATTCCTTTAGTAGGAATAAGTAACTATTCCTTTAGTAGAGATGACATTTGTGTTGTTTGCTACTTGCAATTTAATTAATAGATTAAAAATTTCCAATAGCCTTGAAGAAGTTTTGGAAGCTTTAACATCATCTGGAGAAGAAAGAAAAATTGACAGGTTTTCTTCTATTGTGGAAGGTCTTCGACACAATTCAATTCAACTACAAGTAGGTTTCATGTATATAAATGTATTTTTAAGTGGCTTATCATAATACTGTTTTTCAACTGTTTTGCTGCTCGATTATTTTTAAATGCTATATTATGAAACTGTGTGCCATTTAGTATTCTTTTATATCATTATTTTTAATGACTGAATAGTTTCAATTTATGTCATTGTTGTTAGTTGCTGTCAAGTCGATTCTGACTCATGGCGACTCCATGTGTGCAGAGTAGAATTACTCTGTAGGGTTTTCAATGCTGTGACCACCAACCCAGTAGTTGAGTGCTTAACCATTTTCATCACCCAGGGACCTCTGCTAATACTTATCATATAAATCTTTTCACATTTAATAAAAGTAAAAGGTTATAGTTTATGTGTTTTTTTTTTTTGTTAAGTTCTGAATAGCTTGATTATTTGATCGTTATTAATTCTGACAGGAATAGAGAAGCCAAATCTTAGAGTTTAATTAAAAAAAAAAAAAATGACTTTTTAGTTGCCTAGTGCTGCCATGACAAAAATTACAGGTGGGTAACTTGAAATAACAGGGATTTATTATCTCACACTTTTGGAGGCTAGAAGTCCAAATCAGGGTATCTGCTCTAGGGAGGGTCCTTTTTTGTCAGTAGCCTTGGGAATTCCCCGGTGTTAACCTGACATTTGTCTCTCCTCTGTGTGTATATATCTATATCCATTCAGTTCTTTTTATAATATATCACCTGGAAGTGATTAGGTTTAGGACACACCCTGCTTGATATGATCTCATTAACATACCAAAAGAAAACCCCTATTTTCAAACAGGGTCATATTCATAGGTACAGGGGTTAGGGTTTCGACAAACATTTTTGGTGGACACAGTTCAGTACGTAACAAATGGTGTTTAAAGAAAAATCAGAAGATGTTGGTAACTGTCAGACTAATACATCATTATGATGTCATGATAACAGTGTTTTGAATAGCTGTTGAGGAACCTTGTTGTGATTTGTTTCTCAGCAGAAGGCAGAATTGGCAAGCTGAGTGTATGGTCTCTATTGCATTGGTTACTAGATACTCAGGAAAGGAGTCCCTGCGCACTCTCTTGGGCTTGTCAGAGGATGCTTGAGTGGAGTCAGAAATATGTCCTGCATTTAGTTGCTTGGGTGCTAGGGACTTTTAAGTCATATATTGTTGTTGTTAGGTGCTGTCGAGTCAGTTCCAACTCATAGTGACCCCATGTACAACAGAATGAAATAGGTTCTGCACCATCCTCACAGTTGTTGCTGTATTTGAGCCCATTGTTGCAGCCACTGTGTCAATCTCGTTGAGGGTCTTCCTCTTTTTCACTGACCCACTACTTTACCAAGCATGATATCCTTCTGCAGGGACTGGTCCTTCCTGATAACATGTTCAAAGTACATGAGACAAATTCTCGTCATCCTTACTTCTAAGGAGTACTCTGGCTGTACTTCTTCCAAGACAGACTCGTTCGTTCTTCTGGCAGTCTATGATATATTCAATATTCTTTGCCAACACTGTAATTCATATACTCCTTCCCTTTTTCCTCCATTCTCTAATTTCCTTACTCCTCCTCCTCCTTTCTTCTTTTTTCTCTCTACTTTCTTCTGTCTCTTCTCTCCCATCTCCTCCCTCATTGCTGTTTTCCCTTTTCTCCTTTTCTTTTCCTTCCTTTCTCTCTTTTTCTTTTTTCTTCTATTTCTTCATATTTTTGCCTTGTCTGGTTGTGCTTTTCATAATTCCTTTTTCATCTGGCTCCAGGCTTCCTATTCACCACGAGGCTAATGAAGAGTAAACCTGAAGGAAACTTTATAGAGAAGAGTTGAACAATCACTTTATCTGAAATTTTCTCCATTGTTAATGTTAACTTATATGGTATTTGTGAAAATAATAGTAGGTTATTAGATATTATTTGTGCAACATACTGGATTAGAGATCATGTCTAATTTTAAAAATATCATTTATGAGCTATAATAGTCACATGTAAACTTTGTCCCTTGAGTAAAGATGTTTTATGCTAATATACACTTACTATTTGTGTCTAATCACTCACGTTATAAGGGTGGGAAGTAGTGTCTTATTACGATTAAAGAGATGGGCTTCTGCGTCAGGCAGGCTTCAATTTATGTCCCAGTTACTTCACATCCTAGCTTTGTGACTAAGAACCAGTTCCCGAACCTCTTGTATGTCTGTTTCTTCTGTTGTAAAATGGGAATAATATTAGTACCTAGCTCATCCTTGATTCAGGAATCACAGTGGATAATGTGTTTAAAGTATAGTGGTTGGCCCATTAGCCTGAGGGTTAAGGAAATTCTAGCTTTAAAGAGTTTCTAATTTGTTAAATTAGAAAAAACAAGTCAATGGAAGGTAAAGATTGAAGGTGATCTTAATTTTTGCAGAAACGTTTCCAATGTTGACATTCAAATTGGTATTTAACCATACAACCTAGCAATTCACGTTTGGGCATTTATTTCCGAGAAATGAAAACGTATGTTCATTTAAAAGCCCATATACATATGTTTATAGCCACTTCATTTGTAATAGCCCCAAACTGGAAACAACCCATTTGTCATTCAATATGTGAATGATTAAAAAAAATGTGGTACATCCGTACCATGGAATACTACCCAGAAATAAAAAGGAACTATCTCCAGAGAATTATCAGAAAGTAAAGAAAAAGCCAATCCTGAAAGTTACATATTGTGTGGTTCCATTTATTCAACATTCTTTAGAAAAATCATAGAGATGGAGAACAGATTAGTGGTTGTCAAATGTTTGGGATGGAGTCTGAAAGGGGAGTGAGTATGCCCGTAAATGAATAGCAGGAGAGAGTTTTGTGTGGGATGGAGCAGTTCCGTATCTTGATTATCATGATGGTTACATGAATTTAACCATGTGCTAAAATCGTATCCAACTGTAAACACACATAGAAAGATGTTTACCTGTGTTTTATTGACTATGCAAAGGCATTCGACTGAGTGGATCATAACAAATTATGGATGACATTGAAGAATGGGAATTCCAGAACACTTAATTGTGCTCATGAGGAACCTGTACATAGACCAAGAGACAGTTGTTCGAACAGAACAAAGGGAAACTGCGTGGTTTAAAGTCAGAAAGGTGTACGTAAGGGTTGTATTCTCTCACCATAATTATTCAGTGTGTATCCTGAGCAAATAATCCCGGAAGCTGGACTGTATGAAGAGGAACGGGGCATCAGGATTGGAAGAAGACTTATTAACAACCTGCGGTATGCAGATAACACAACCTTGCTTGCTGAAAGTGAAGAGGACTTGAAGTACTTACTGATGAAAATCAAAGACCACAGGCTTCAGTATGGATTACACTTCAGCATAAAGAAAACAAAAATCTTCACAACAGAATAAATAAGCAGCATTATGATAAACAGAGAAAAGATTGATGTTGTCAAGGATTTCATTTTCCTTGGATCCACAATTAACACCCATGGAAGCAGTAGTCAGGTCAGGAAATCCAACTATGTATTGTGTTGGGCAGATCTGCTGTAAAAGACCTCTTTAAAGTGTTAAAAAGCAAAGATATCATGTTGAAGGCTAAGGTGCACCTGACCCAAGCTGTAGTATTTTCAATCGCATCATATGCATGTGAAAGCTGGACAATGAATAAGGAAGACTGAAGAAGAATTCATGGCATAGAATTATGGTGTTGGTGAAGAATATTGAATATACTGTGGACTGCCAGAAGAATGAACCAGTCTGTCTTGGAAGAAGTGCAGCCAGAATGCTCCTTAGAAGTGAGGATCGCGAGACTGTCTCATGTACTTTGGACATGTTATCAGGAGGGACCAGTCCCTAGAGAAAGACACCATGGTTAGTAAAGTAGAGGATCAGCAAAACAAAGGAAGACCTTTAATGAGATGGATTGACACAGTGGCTATGATAATGGGCTCAAATATAGCAACGATTGCGAGGATGGCACAGTACTGGGCAGTGTTTCTTTCTGTTTTTATCCAGGGTCTCTGAGTCGGAGCTGTCAGCACATAGAAACGACGACAACAAAACTGGTAATATCTGAATAATTATAATTGTACTATATAGTTAGGCAAGATATTACCAGTGGGAGCAACTGAGTGAAGGATATTTGGAACCTATCTACTTTTTTTTTTGCAACTTCCTATGAATTTATAATGATTTTAGAATAAAAAGTTTAAAAAAATCTTGGTATTTAAGGCAAGACTACTGAAGTTGAAAACTAGGGTCCCATCTTTTAGTTTACAACATTGGATTACTTGAAGTTTTAAAGCTTTGAGTGGCAAAATAAAAAACAACTTGCTAATGACAAAGCCAAATTGTGCCTACACAAATGACTGACTTATTCTTTGCAAAATTTTGACTAATACAATCTTAAAATTCATGATTTTTTGGTATGTTAAATTTTGTTACCAGACATTAAGGTAAATCTGTCTGATCTTTTAAAAAGTTTTATTAACTACCATTTTAAGTTGAAGGCAAGCTGTATTAATTAAAAAAAAGAAAAAAAGAAATTCTTGGGTAAATTTAGTCATTTCCTTTATGTGCAGTTATTCTAACTGTACTGAAGGTACTGTAATGGGAACACATTTTTTATAGTTCTGATAAATTTATGTTTAGCCCATAAATATCTATAGAATTCTATGAAAGATAAGTATCAATCAAAAATTGGACATTTTATAGGTTACTATTATATAGAAGATATTAAGAATTGAAGAAATTTTTTAATTAAAATATATGTATTTATCTACATATCTGTCTATCTCTCTCTCATTCTCTAGCTACCTATACCTATATACCTATAACCATTGATTTGATATGGTTTTGAAATGATCTTTTTTTAACAGCTTTACTGAGTTAAAATTCACATGTCATATAATTTACTCATTTAGGGAATAATTCATTTTTTTGGGTATATTCTCAGAATTATGCAACAATCACCACAGTCAATTATAAAACATTTTCATCACCCCCAAAATAAACTCTTCACTCCTTAGTCATCAACCTT